GTAATATGTTTATGTTTATGTTTATGTTTATCAGCAATCAAATCAACGCTTGTACGGAGTAGTTGTTCTGTCAGTGTTGTCAGTACATGTACTGTACTAAGCGTACTGTGGCGTTTAGTATGGCTCTCCATACTGTACTAAACATACTGTGGCGTTCAGTACAGGTCTTCATACTGTACTAAACATACTGGCGTTTAGTACAGGTCTTCATACTCTACTAAGAATACTGTGGCGTTTAGTACAGCTCTTCGTACTCTACTAAAACTTTTGTAAGTACGGCTCTTCAATACTCTACTAAACATCTTTTTGAGTGTAGTACGGCTTTTCATACTCTACTCATACTCACTTTATGGTATGGCTCTTCATACTCTACTCAACATACTCTTGCGGTTTAGTACGGCTTTTCATACTCTACTAAACATACTCTTTGAGTTTAGTACCTAACCTCTGTACTCTACTCATGTGAGTAGAGTATTCACCTCTCTCATACTCTACTCTACTCAACCGTTAGTACAGATTCTCGATACTCTACTAAACATACTCTACTGTACTAAACCTACCCGTGAAAAACACCAACACTTGGACTAAATAGACTACACATCTCCTGTAGACCGCCTTTACAGCAAAGGATTTTTATTCGACGTGGACTACTGCCGGATTCAGCACCGAATTCCACATTCATCCTGGTGTATGCAGTCTGCGCCTGTGGACAGCACAGATCAATGCGTGATTGGTACAACGTTTGCTGAGCGCAACACCTGCTACATTTTTCGTACTTGACTCTCTCTCAGCAGTCACGGCCTCACCGGCAGCGGACGGGGTTGAGCTCGGGGCAACAATCGGGCAGGAGGCAAAAACAAAATGGACGTTTTTTTTTTTTTTTCTGATCATGACCCAACGAATCCGTCTCTTACCGAAACGAGTCTTACGATAGATTAGCAATGAATTCATAGCGTCAGAGAAAGCTACCAGTATTTTCACGGTTCCCCGAGCAGCACACAGCGATATCTCCCCTGTGGGTAACAGGGTCAACAGGACAATTTGGTAGCAGTCTAGTGCATCTATCGGAACATTCATGACGCCATTTCCGCGGGCGCCTCCGGAAAATCGCCGCCGTCCAACAAGAAGTGTCTTTTTCACATTCGTCTACGTACATGCATGGCCTTCAAACCACGTAGACTATTACCGCTGCACATGATGTGCACTGAAGGTGGAAGATAGTGGTTTGCTCCGCTGGATGTGTTGTTACGACTCGCTCGTGTCCCCACTGGAGACGTCCGCGCCCCCATGGGGCCCAAAGAACGGCTCCTCCAGACAGGGGGCCGAGTTCAGTCATCTGTCGGGCGGTTCTAGGGGAACAATAAGCGGCATGTTGCGTAAGATAACATCCCCCCTGCACCGATTTTTTTTTTCTTAGTATCACACAACAAATCCATCTCTATCAAAGCTCGATCGCTCGCAAGCGAACGGTCACGGTGGTACCGACTAGCGGCGTTGGAAACATCTCGTCGAGAATTTTTCTCCGAAAACGAGGTATTCCTATCACTTTCTATTGTGGCGTCCTCTTCGTCGTGAAGTACACCGAGCCTTGAAAATCGCTGCAGGGGGGTATCCCTTGCAACCCCACTACTTTTATCATACTGCTGCAACACAGCGTAAGTGAGGGAGTATATTGCTCTTCAGCATGTGCATATATACACAACTCGCGCACACGAACGTGACACAACTTTTTTTTTTGTATGACACAATGAATCCATGTATCTCCATCCATAGCAAAAGGAGTCTACGATAGATGTATTATAGCAACGAATTCATGGCGAAAGAAATTGAACACATACGTTCAATCAAAGAGATACATGCTCCCGTTCGAGGTGTAGATACAACCACTTGTCGACAGGGGGAGATAACAAGTCCAAGTCTTTTTCTTTCTATTTCATCGCGTGTGTGCGTTCGCCGCAACTACTGCTGTATCTCGTGGGTGCATACGCACGTGCGAGGGTGATGGGTTGAATGAACTCTTGTCAAGTGTTTACTAATTGCGTGTGTCGCCGTACTACCAGTGACTGTTGTACATGCTGCTGTATCATCCTCCGTGCGTATGTAGGTGCTGGCGTCTACGACGGTCTCCTTCGCCTCTGAGCACCGCGGACAGGCCGCCTTCCTTCGAGATATCGTATCCGGACTCACACCCGTCTGCGCCAGACCCTCCACCGCCGAAACCTTCTTCCCGAGAGACAGCGCCGGCGGCGGCAGCGGCAGCGCGGCCGCCGCCAGTGGCGGTAGGTCGGCTGCGGGCCCCCGCCGCGTGGCTCTGTGCGCCCTCCCCGAGGTCTGCAGCCGCCACAACTCCCCCGCCCAGCCCCACGCGATCGCCGACTGCGCGCGGTCGATCAGCGGGAGCGGCAGCGTGGCCGTGGTTATGTGCCTGGACCACCCGTCGTACGCGTTTGCCGCGGGCTGGTGAGAGAAGTGGCGGGCGGGATGGCCGGCACTATAGCAGAGGGGAAGGGGAAGAACGAAAGTTTTTCATTTTTGAATGTTGATTTTTAGACTAGTCTATTTGTAAAGGCATCGTTCGTCCTCTGTCCTGTGTTTTTGAAGGCACCGGCCTTATATGAAGAAAAAATGGAAGGCACCGGCACCGGATGCCTCGCTTCACGTCCTGTCCCCTACCTCTTGTTCCATACGTTGTCGATGTCTGCCCCCCACCCGTGACGCAAAATGCACATGTACAAATATTCCGATTCACGTGGAACTCAAATCGTGTCGTAGCACCACAACACACGACAAACTCGCCACGCCTCAACAATCGCCTTTATGTTGCACACCCCTCCCCCCCCCCCCCCCCCCCCCCCCCCGTCTACAAACGTCACCAGCGCGGTCGCGAGAGCGTTCCCTCTTTACAGTAGCACGAGCAGGAAGCGGCCGGGCGCGGGCGCCGCTTCCACCCCAGCCCCCCCGCCGTCGCGGACGGTGCAGGTCTACCTCCGTGTGCCTGTGGAGGCGTGGGGCGCCGTCCGGGCGGACCTCTCGGCGGTGAGGAGGAAACGGGACAAGGTTGAAACGCTTGGTGGCCATCCTTGGTGTGTAGTTTGCCTACCTTGGAGTACTTTCCTTCTCAGAGGAGGGAAGTGTAATGGGATTTGACCCCTTCCTTCAGAATCATATCGCGTTAAGGCTGTGTGGGACTCTCTTGTCCGACAACAGATGCAGGTTTTTGTTGCTTTCCGCTGTTCTCTCTTCTCTTGATCAACGCTTTGCGAAGCCAACTCACACCGACCCCAAGCACACACGATCACCAGATCGTACGCACACTGAGCAGAGGGGCACATGCCTCGGCATGAAGCCTAAATCTTCCATGACCATACGTCATAGCATCTGACGACGCCAAAGAGCCATGGTGAAGCACGCTCACAAGTCTACCTCCAAATACCATAACAGAAGAATGTTTGTGGTTGTACTAGCCTGTTTTTTTTAGCACGGGAGGGGGATCGTTGAAGAAGAAGGCGGATGGGCAGCCGGCAGCAGCATTGGTGACGCAACCGACCGTCTGCACTTCTCTCGCTCTCTCTCTGTCTCTCTCTGAGCCTCTCTCCCTCTCTCCCTATTGCATGTCACACGAACCGCATTTCATTCCGTCTCCTGCTCATTCGATTCGGTCCTGTGGGAACAATGCTCCGTCCTCTCGAGGACGCGTGGTCAATGGTCTAACCGCTAAGACATGCAAAACATAGGAGTACGCCCCCCCCCCCTCCCCCCGCAGGCGGCGGAGGGCATCCAGCTAGCCGCGAGGCTCGTCGACACCCCGCCGAACGTCCTCTCCACCACCGCCTTCGTCGAGGAGGCGCTGGCGGTGGCTAGCGGTCTCCCTCCGTCGATGTGCGCGGTCAAGGTCATCCGCGGCGACGAGCTCGAGGCGCAAGGGTTCGGGGGATTGTACGGGGTCGGGAAGGCGGCGGTAGAGCCGCCCGCGCTGGTCGTGCTCAGCTACCTCCCGGACGGGGCTGCGGCGGGANGGGGGGGGGGGGGGGGGGGGGGGGGGGGGGGGGGGGGGGGGGGGGGGGGGGGGGGGGGGGGGGGGGGCGGGGGGGACCGCAGCCCAAACGGCGGCGGCGGCGGCGGCGGCGGCGGCGGGCGGGGTCGGAGGGCGTGGGTCGGTGTGCTTCGTGGGCAAGGGGATCATTTACGACACTGGCGGGCTTTCGATCAAGACGAAGACGGGAATGGTGAGGGGGCACGCGAACGAACAACTCTGGTTTGGGTTGGTCGCTCCGCTCAGGTCCCTAGTCCCTAGAAGGAGGTTTCAGGTGGTACACAAGGCGGCCCTCGCCTGCGAAAAGACGCTCTCGAGAATCGCTGCTGCTGCTGCGCTTTGAGAAGAGTCCGCGCGGGCCGGGAACAACGTGCTTGGGGATTTTCATCATGCACCTATTATTTAATCTTTGCGCAGGGTCGAGACAGCAAGCAGTCAACTAGACAGGGAACACCTTCTTGAAAGTGTCAATTTGTTTGTGGGCGTTTCCTTGACTTAGATCACCGCGCCGGGTATCCCTTGCACTCTGTTTGCATGTTTCTGAGTCAAAGTGGCTTGCGTGTCAGGCTTGCGCGTGCGCGTGTTCTCTCTCTTTGTAGCATGTGTGCATGTTGTTCATTTTGTGTTATCGGCTTTGGCCATCCATCTCTGGCCGGGCTATACACCAACACCACACATAGAAACTACGTCGTTTTTCACCTGCAAGAACGCCGTTGCAAACGAGTTCCGCGCCTCTGCTTTTGGTTATTCAGCCGGGCATGAAGCGAGACATGGGAGGGGCAGCGGCGATCCTCGGGGCATTCCAGGCGGCCGTCAAAGCGCAGATGGCGGCGGCGGCGGCCGGCGGCGGCGGGAGCGGGTGGGAGGGGCGGCGCAGGCCCCTCCACGCCCTACTGTGCCTGGCGGAAAACTCGGTGGCCGCAAACGCGACGCGGCCCGACGACATCCACACGCTCTACTCGGGGCGAACGGTGAGGAAAAAACCTCTGGTCTCGTCGAATTGTTGTGCCAGGTTTGGCGGGATTCCTACTACAGTACCGTATGTTTGTATTAAGTAGGTTGTAGGCTAGCACGTCGCCCCCCCTCCCCTGCTTTTTTCTCTAAAAGCAGAGCGCAGCGGTGGGAATACCCCCCCCCCGTCCCCGGTCGGCAATGCATTGCGCGAAAGCAACAGCGCCAAGCCCGGGACAAGACTGAAACATGTTTTTCTCTTGGAAGCGAGTTGTCCTCCTCTACTGGTTGCTGCGGTCGATCCCTTTCTTTGTCCGGTGTGCCCTGGCTTTTCTAGTGCTTGCTGCACTTGTGGCAGAGAGAGGCTCTTCCGTGATGGCAATGCGGCAGTCCATCGTCTGTTCGTCGAAGTGCGGTACAAGCAGGTCTTACTTGTTCACATGCGAGGGGAGACCCGAGTGCCGTTTGCGGCGTTTTTGGACTACAACATGCCCTTGCTTTTTCTTGTCGCGAACGCGACACCTGTGCCGCTTCCTCGGCGTCTTGCTATGCACATGTGTATCTTCAACGAGGAGGAAACTTGCCCCGCTCGGGTACAGCAGTACGCCGCAAGAAAGAGAAACGACGCCTCCTGCATCCCCACACGTTCTCGCAGGTAGAGATCAACAACACGGACGCGGAGGGCCGCCTGGTGCTGAGCGACGGGGTCGCCTACGCCGCCCGCCACCTCGGGCCTTCGGTCATCATCGACATGGCCACGCTGACGGGCGCGCAGGGGGTGACGACCGGCAGACGACACGCCTCCGTGCTGTCGAACGACGAGGCGCTCGAGAAGATGGCGGTCGAGTGCGGAAGATCGTCGGGGGACCTCGTGCATCCAGTGGTCTACTGCCCCGAGTTCTTCAGCGAAGAGTTTAGGTGCGTCAGCGGGTGGGGGGTAGAGAGCCCGCGGGGGGGGGGGGGGG